CAATTGGTGTATCAAACATGTATGACCTCTACATTTTCATTGTTATCATAACCCTATGGCTGTTAACCATATTATACGCCACTTTGAAACACCTATTAATTGGGACTCAATTTAATGGCACAAATTTAAGCACATTTTCTATGCTCACTAATTATCGTAAGATTATGCCTGACCAGGGTCACACCACCGGTAGTATGATATTTGGCGTTCGCGCTATTACCATGCTTATTATATTGACCACTCACTTTTTCATCATGCTACTACAATCTCCTCCTGAGAATCAACATATCCTAGGTGCTTTGACTGAGAATATAACGTATGTACATTAGTACAGTATATCAATATTTTTCTACAACTAAAGTTGTAAACTTTTAAATTTAATTATACATAAGATTAACTAGAAATAATAGTCATTTCAACCTGACACAGTTATGCCATATTCATACCGCCATACTTGGCTATGCACCTTGGAAATCTAATGAGTGGTATGGCATCAGCAAGGTGCTTTACCCAACAATATCCACAGCACCAGAACAATATTAATGTTATTCCAATGGTGCTACGGTTTTACCTAGGGCGTATAATCCAAATGGCACCAATCTATTACATGTGCTTATATTTCTACATAATTTTCGTTAAATACCTCATAAGTGATATGTTTTACGACACAACTGTTGTCAGCGCCTGTAATAGCAATTGGATTACAAATGTATTGTTTGTATCCAACTATATCTCATCCGACCAAATGGTATGACCTGGATATTAATAGTTTTATAATATAAATATTATTAATAGTTAATTATTACTTGTCAATAGTGTATGTTATGGTCCTGGTCAAATCCTGTCATACTACAGCTAACATTTATAGCACCGGCATTTATGATAATAATGATCAAGTAAGAATTGAGTTCACAATTACAAATCGGGATTCGTTGTAAACTTTTAATAATATAAAAATTATTATTAAAAAGTTAAATCTACATTAAATTTTAATTGGTAATATAAATAGAAATTATCGAAATGGACTAAGGGCAATAATCATGGGACACATAATGTTCATGGTCATTGATTTCTACATGTTTTACTCAAATGGTTTTGTGGCACAAATGTCAGCCCATGATTTAGTACCCACCAACAATCTGTTTAATGGGTTTCTGTAAGTAAAGTAGAACTATAATTATTTTTTATATACCCTGTTCATATTAAATCATTGTATATTTCCTATTTAATTTAGGAAAACCCATTCAGTAGGCAATTTACTACACGTCAAGCCTTACCATTACGGCCCATCCTATCTGAATGGCCTACTATTAGGCTATTTAATGGAAACCACTTCAGATGTGCGCAAAATATACGATAATATTTACGTCAAAACATGTGTCAAACCATTGGCTCTGTTTTGGGTCCTCATAACTGCGGCAACCTTTGTAAAGACGACTCTTTTTGGTAACTTCGCATCGGTATTCACGGCATTTGAGTACTCGGTCAGCGGTTTCCTACAATCATTGCTCATATGCTATGCACTCGTATGGCTATCGGTACACAATACCAGTCCTATCAATCGGTTCTTATCTCTAAGGCTATGGAAAACTTTGAGAATAACTCAAACCACTGTATATCTGTTTCACTTGATTATCGCCTTGATACTTTTTCCCATTATACCGAAACAGTTATTGATACTAAACGCGGCTAACATGGTGAATGTTTTAAGTATCTGGGTGCTATTTATAATAGTGGTATACATAGTGTGTATACCATTAACAATCGCTATTGATATGCCGTTAACAGCGTTCACACAAAGCCTATTGAATAGTGTGTTGCCATCAAAACACGGCAAACGAGTGCAACAAAAAGTGAAATAATATTCGACTTTATAATTAGGTTTCGTAAAAGTAGTAATCAATAAATTTTATAGTATTTATTACAGTAATGATGATGTTTTACCATTTTATGAATACAGTGCAAACTTTTTTTTCATGTTTTTGAATAGGTATTTTACTTGAATCTTAAATTCATTGATAACTGTATGTTTTATGAATACATCGAAAATATCATAAGTATTACGGTAAATATGATGTGTAATCAAAACATTGATTAATATAAAAGCGCTTTTATTATTAACCAATGCTATGTACTTGATACCAATATTACCACTTTTAAAATCAAAAATGTATCCACTACTATACTTGATTATGTTTGTAAAAATAAGCCTGCAATAAACAAATATATCCAATATTATCGTGTTACTTTATTGGTTTCAAATTTAAAAATTAAATAACTTCTTTCAATTAAGTTTATCTCGTTTATTTTCTACCAGATAAATATATGCTTCGTATTATCTAGTCTATTTTTAGTTGCATGGCGATTCCCTCTCACAGTTGTATTGATTTTAACGATTAACGAGATAAAAACAATTATCTTTAACATTATAGTGTTCATAATTAATCGTATAAATATACCATAAAACATGTCCTTGTCGACACCATAATGGTATAATACGGTAGATATTTGTCCAGGCTGACACCGGTCGAACATCATAGTTAACAATAGTTCAAACCCATTTCTCATATAACTGTACTCGCTAATCGCATGTAGCACGTAATGTAGCTCATTCGCCATAATAAAAGTGTTGCTCAACGTGACATACACGACCACGATGGCCATGCAATAAAGGAACGAGAGCATTTTATCGTGCGAAAAGATTATCGCGGTAAGTTGGGCGTAACTTTGACCACATAATAATACTAATAAGCTGGTCACATATAGTGTAACGTACGAGCGTATAGTGTATGTCAAGTCGATTATCCCGCAATACACGATTAGCGTTATGATTATGGGTAAAAAGTCCGTGATAGTTTTTGCACACAAAAATGTTCCCGTACTGTACCAGCCTACGATACAACGTAAAATATGAGTCGGTGATTTTAAAATACAGACTAGGTGGAACACAATCATATGTAATTATAGATATGACCGAGGTACGACACAATGCTTGATTATGAACCCGTACTGTACCAGCCTACGATACAACGTATAATATGAGTCGGTGATTTTAAAATACAGACTAGGTGGAACACAATCATATGTAATTATAGATATGACCGAGGTACGACACAATGCTTGATTATGAGTTATACTGTTATGTATTGATATACACTCAATGTATTTAAATGAAAACCAGAAATGAAAGTACAGTATAACTTGTTTAGAAAGTTCTGGACTGTACTTGAGGTACAGGTGCTTATGATTGGACAGAGCTAAGGGGACTCTGTTACTACTTGTATAGGTAAAATAAAAAATAGTAAAAATAATCTTTATTACATAATTGGTATGCATACTTAGTTTCAAGGGGATCTCCGATATCTCAACAAACAGTTATTTAGCTCAGAATCCAGTCTTTAATAATGACATACAATATGATAACCTTTAAAAAATATTTAAGTCAAATGACTTTAAAAAGGATATTTTAGGAAAAAACTGTAATTTTAGTTTATAATTTAGATAACCCAGTACATGGCAACATTTACTAATGACTGTGAAACTAATGTATTTGCGATAATATCAATTGAGAATATTTTAATAAAGTTTCGATAAATAAATGTACTAGTGAAAATATAATGCGATAATTTGGGTAATAATAAAAGCATCAAAAGTTTAATAATATTTTTAACTTAAAATCAAATTTTGCGATATTAAAATAATTAATATAAAAAATAAATCGTCGCAATAACCTTGACATTTTTCAATGCTATTTATTAATTACTGAAATAGATTTCGACGTTTCACAAAATCTAAGTTAATTTTGTAAAATAACTTTTTTCAATAAGCACATTTTATGAAATCTTGGCTGCAAATACTGTTTTAAAATATATAAACATGTTTGAATCGTTATTTAGAAAAATGTATCTATATTTATTGAATTTCTATTCACAAAGTTTTAATTAAATATATTTGATTTGCATTTTAAAGTACTTAAAATTTTATATAGTTTATATTTGAAATTATTAAATATATTATTAAAAACATACGTAAGTTATTTAACCAATTTAACAAGCGTAAGTTATCAAATTATTCACATCACTTATATTCTAGCAATAAAATTAGTTCATATATCTCTAATAATTAATTATTAATGATTCATTAATATCATTGAAATTATTTGACATATTTATAATATTAATAAATGTACACTGCTTGAAAAGTAAATTACATCCCACATACTTTTGATACACGTAGCACTTAATCATAAAAGTCAACCAAAATGACTATATTTTCGTACTACGCATCCTTACTTATGCTGCCGGTGCGAGTGGTGGTCAA